AAAAAAAAAAAAAAAAAAAAAAGATATATATATATATGTTTGTATATATATATTCAAAATATTGCCAACAATAAACAGAAGAAAGGTATTTGTGCTTAATTCAAAGTTAATTAGAAAAAATCCTTGTTACTAAAATACCTCTTAAATATTGATCATCAATCTCTACTTGAAACCTATGTTTTTCCTAACCCCCTAAGCACCATTTTAGGACAGATGAAGAAATCTCACGTGCCTTTTTTCTTCTCTGTTACCTGAGTTTGACATTGAACTCCTTGGACTTCTTGCTCCTCTGGAGACATTGGGAGCTGTCTTTATATAGTTTCCTGAATAAGGATGACAGAACTGGTTAAAAAAAAAATATTTCATGTGGCTCTTCTTTCCAGGCTTTATGAAAAAGAAGTGTAGAGAAGAAAATCTGAATGCAGCCCACTGGACTTTGGTGTCCATAACCTTCTGTCCTATATGTCTATGTAGGGCTTTCCTTCCTTCCTGAAGGCAGTGACAGTCTGCCTAGTGGGGCCATTGCTACCAACTGTGGAGCCAGCTCTTAGGCTGATGTAAGGTCTCAGCATTGTGTTTGAATACACAGTGCTACTTTGGCATTTAGTTGTTAACAGTATCAGCCCCATTATAAGAGCAAAACTTGGGTGGAGAAGAGGTGTCAAAGACTGCAGTTAGAGGCTAGGCACTGGGAAGATCTTTCCTGCTCTAACTCTGATCTCATATCTGTCCAACCCATATGGATTTGTAGGTTAAAATGTTGAAGATTTTCTTGCCTTTTCCGAAGTTAGTGTCCATATAATGCTCTTTTCAGAGTTCTGCCAATCCTATATGAGTGCTGTTTGCTCTTGACTCAATATCTAAAGAATATAAATTAGTGAAAATAAATGACCATAATAGGGAAGAGTAACTAGAAATCCATCAAAATGGCTTGGCAGGAGATTCTATGACAGAGATAGAACTTCCAGTTCCAAAGTAATCATTTATGATCTGGGAGAATTAATGAGTTTCTTGGTAAGTTTAGTAGGATTTAGAGTTGGAGAAAATTACCCTCTGCTGCTCACCATTCCAAGAAAACACTGCCAAAAGTGAGAGGCGAAAGGTCCAGTTTCCAAAAACATGACACAGAAACAGCATTGATTTCTAGGGTAAATTTAGAGAAGCTAAACATTAAACATTTTTGGTTAAACAGATGAGAATTAAACAGTACTAAATTCAGAAAGCTTGCTTTGCAGAAAATGGACTGAACGGATACCTGCAACCCAAAGTATTATCATTGGCACATGTACACACATGTACATGTGTACATACATTTATGTAAAATTTACTTTCAAATTGCATCTCCATAAGACTTTGCTTTTGAGTGCTGGAGTTGTCATGAGTGGTCAAATAAATGGACAAGATATTAAGTTACCTGATTATCAACAGGCTATGGCTTGTTCATCCCTCCAGAGTGGACCGCTGGATGCAGCCAGATACCCAAATAAAATTTGATCAGAGTTGTGGAGTGGATTTGGTTATTATTTAAATCCATGTTACCATGTTTCCTAAGGATCAGTTGTTCGAGCACTTCCATTATCCTGTCGTTTAGGAATAGTTTTTATCACTCTTCTTCCGTTTTTAAAGGTAAGGTATATGCTTCCAGGAAGATTTCGAATAGCTTCATCTCTGCCACGTCTTTCTGCTTTTGAAAGAAATTTTTTGTCTTGAAAGAGTTTCACCTCCTGTAATTCATCTTTGAGGGCAGCTTTATGTGGTCCAGGAACAAAACTATACACCAAAAGAAGAGAACATCATACAAGTGAGTGCCACTTCAACTTTAAGGTAATCCATACTAATCTCTTCCCGAAAACAGTTGTTGTACTTACTTCCTTGTTGCATCATTCCCTCAGGTAATTTTTAAAGATTACTAAACTGAGGATTTTCACTGACCCATATGTCAGAAGCTGACAGATGAAGCATGTTGCTAAAGCATGAGAAGTACAATTTTAAGAGCGAAGTTTCTTCTTCATGGTTTATGTTTCACCCAGATCTTTACATGGTTGGCCTTTGATTGTTCAAATTCGAGTTTAAATGGTACATCATCAGAGAGCATTACATCTATAATTTCTCCAGTTTCACTCTCACTTTCATTCAGCATAAAGTATCATGCTTCCATTTTCCTCATAACACTTAACACTACCCGAATTTCTGCTTACTTGTAAACCTCCTTATGGTCTGCTTCTCCTCTCTCTTCCCCCCACTGCCCAGTAAGTGTCAGGAGACCTTATCTGTTCACATAGTAATCCTCAGTGAGTATTAGCTAATGAAAGTACCTCTCCGTCTCTCCATCCATTCAAATGTTCATTATCTGCTCTGTGAGAGGCACTGTGTTAGGTATGATAGGAGACAAAGAAATAGAGCCCAATCTGGCAGGTACAGAAATAGCCTCATTGGAGTCCCTGAGTATCTTTACAGTATAGGAGAACTGGGGTCAGACTGGAATGCCTTGAATTCCAGGCTGTGAAATAGACTCATAGAAGCCATTGATAACTATATGAATTCTAGCCTAAACTTTCTGTGCTCTTGGAAATGTCCAGTCATCTGCACTGGTCAGTGTGGCAGCTGCTAGCCACATGTGACCACCAGACACTTGAAATATAGTTAACGAGGAACTGCATTTTTACTTTTAATTGATCTAAATTTATACAGCCACATTAGCTAGTGGCTATATGGACAGTATGAAAATGGAGCCATTTCAGATGACCTTACTTTACAAGGATGCAGTAGAGCTTTGTGTCTGAAAACATTCCCATCCTTCCAGTCACTGAGTTCTGGGCCAATCACTTAACTAGACTGATGCTAGTTTTTTCAGGTGTAAAATGGGGGTAAAAACAACCCATGTGAGCAACAGCTGAAGTCCGCTAGCCTAGTTTGTGACCTCATATGTTGGTCCCAGATGAGGAAACGGAGGTGCGGGGAAGATCAGTGGAGATTGGGGCTGTATCCCAGCCAGGTGCCTAGTGTCACTTCCGATATTAAACTTGGGCTGGAAAGTGAAATGGTGACTGTCATGTGTGGTACGGAAGCGTGTGAATGTGAGTACGGGATCAAAGGAAGGTAGACGGCCTGGAGCAGGCTGGACAGAGACAGTGTGAGAAGCCCAGCACGCAGGCGCTTCGTACTTGGAGATTAGACAGGGGAGAGGTGGGTGGTATGAGAAGGGAGGTTTCCTGAGACCAGTAAACCAGCAGTTGGCCGAATTGTGGTCAAGGGAGGAGCTAGGAAAACTTAAAAATGTTTCATAAGTACATTGGCAGTATTCACTGAATCTGCTTCTTTATATTTTTCTGTTTTCACTAGCTGTAAAGTTTCACTAGCTATAAACTTAAAAACAATATTTAGAAAATGAGTACAGTGGGAAGATACGCAAATGTAAGTTAAAATTCTTTCAGTACATACACGTACAAACATGCACACCCCTTCACGAGGCACATAATTCCTTTATGGACACATGTTCTCTTTACATAATTACATTTGTGATGTGGAGTTTGTACATATACATAACACATCTTAATTCTTTTGTCCTTTTTCTTTCCCCTTTCTGCTCTTGCCAATTCTTTTTTCCCCCTCCCCATAAAATCCCCTTTTCTTTTTTCCCTCTCTCCTCTTGTTCCTCTTCCCATCTGAGAAAGATCTTCCTACTTCCTAATATCTACATTTTATTTTTTTGCTCCTTATTTATACTTCGAATTCTCATATAAGAGAAACAGTGTAATACTTAACGTGTGTCAGATTTATTTAAGATTATGGTCCTGAGGTACATCCATTTACCTAAAAATGCCACAAGTTTATCTTTTTCCTCTATAAAGAACTAGGGGTGGAGGAAACATGAGAATAATAAAGAGAACTGTGCATTCATGTTCCCTGGACCTCCAAAGCCTCTGTGTATTATGTGCTATATATCTGGGCTTCTGAAATTTGACTCAAGAGTTTCACAGTTCCTTCTGACAATGCTATCAAGAATGTTCTAAGTTGACTTAGACTGCAGACTTCAGTTACTAAGAATAGAGCCACAGCTAAATTTCATTGCAAATACAGTTTCCTCATACTCCCTCCCATTTTTCTTTCTTCTTTGCATTATAGTTCTTAGACCCTGAACATTATGAATTAAAGCTCCCCAAATTCATGATTGTATTCAGAGAACATGAAGAGAGCATTTTTTTGAGTCTGAAATATACTTTTTATGGCTTCATTCTCTTATAGTCCCTCTCCTCCTGCTCCTTTTTTTGTGGCAAGCTTAGTTATCTTTGTTAGTTATCTACTTTATTAAAAACTGTTAAATCAGTAACTGCTTCCAAATATGGCATTGCTATCTTTCTCCATCAAATATTTGTATTCTCAAAAAGATTGAACACTAAATTTCCAGGTTTTTTTCATTATACACACAGGAATTTGTATTTGTTATCTATTTGTTAAGAATCTTTTGATTACCCAGTTTTCTCTTTCTCTTACTCTACGCTGTTCAGATAATTCTTTGCTGATTGGTAGATCCAACCACAGGTAAAAAGAATGAAACAAAGATGAAACAGTCAATTAATTCTGCAACTTGTGCCCAGCTCTAGTAAAGCTCATACATAGGAAGGTATAGCAAATTCTAAATAAAATGGGATGAGTGTAGATTTGGCTTCGTGATGCCCACAGAGCCCTCTCTCTCTCTCTCTCTTTCTCTCTCTCTCTCTCTCTCTCTCTTCTCCAGACCTTGAGCAATCAGCTGTGCTGCCTTAATGGTGGAGTGGTTGCACTGAAAACAAACGAGATTGCTTCGCTCCAGAATTCTTATCTTTTTGGGTTCAAAAAACACACTTTGGAAAGCACAATTACAACAGCTATGTTTTTCAAATGGCATTGGTGGCTGTGTCCATTCTAAGTTTATTCTTTCTCTGGCCTGTCACTGCTTTGGAGTCTGGCACAAGTACTTGCCTGACTGCATGAGCCAAAAAGCAGATGGCTTTCTCTGTCTCTGAGCAGATCCAAGTGATTATACCAAGAGCTGCCTGCAATGTCACCCACTGGCCATCTGTCTCCATGGTTGCTTATGGTTAGATTCCGTTCCTTTCCATCTGATAGGAACCAGCTTCTCTGGATTTTCCTCAGAGTCTCACGGCAAATTCTGCTGCAGGTCATTCTGAGAACTTGGCAAGTCACTTGTAAGCCCAGACATTCTCATTGCCCTCAATCCTGTTTTCAGTTTTGCCTCACTTCTCATGAGTGGCCCAGGCAGAGAGCTTCAGAAGCATGTGATTCATCACTTTTTATTATAGTCATTGGTCACCTAGAGAAGGCCAGAGGACTCCCAGTCTATCATATTGGGGAAATCACATAATGGTATGGGTTTCATGTCTAATGCCTTGAGGGCCCAGCTGTTTTACATGATAGATTCATAGGAGGCACTGAGCTTCCTTTTTCAAAGGAACTGTAAATCTTTTCCTGCTCATATTGTTCTTCAAACAGAGCGTGGTGAGAATGCTTCCTACAAATGCCTCTTGACTGTGGAGGCCGGCTTTGGCATATGCCCTTAAAATTGTGGCTGGCTACATACATGGAGACCAGGGCAGGCCCTCACAGGATTCCTGCCCTGTGAGTTGGGAGCCCCCCTCCCATCAGCCTCTAGAAGATGGCCTGGAAGTTGAGCTATCATCTCTTGTTTCCCTCAGCTGGTTGTCTCAACCCGCAGCAGCGGGCTGATCCCCAAGAATATCACCACCTCTTGGCTGAGGCATGCTGGGTACCTCGTAAGAAGTGGACAAGAGGCAAATGTACTGTGGCACCACTGGCTTCCAACACAGCCCTGTTCCAGGACTCAGGATGTATGGACCCCAGTTCTCTTGGTGTTTATGCCGAAGCCCCTTGTCAAGGTAGAGGCCCAAAGGAGCTGGGAGGTGCTGAGTGGGCTGAAAGAATAGGTTTCAGTCCATGCTCAGATGCTCCATTACTTTTAGGCCTGTGGCAAGGCAGAAACCGAGTATGGCAGAAGAAACCTGCTCACCTCATGCTGGTGCCTCCTTCAGAGGGACAAAGTATAATCCCCAGGGTCTCACCTCCAGACCCACTCTTCACCTAGGCCCCACTTTACCAGTTTCCATCATATCTATGGTTTAACCCACTGATGAAGTCAAGCTTCATGATCCAGTCACCTTCCAAAAGTCCCACCTCAGGGAGGAGAGAGGGAAGGGGAATCCCTCCATCTATCCATCTATCTATCTATCTCAACTCCCCAGGATGCATGTATTCATTATACATTGCAGATGTGCTAAACACATGCACATATGCAATATGCAACATGCCCCACCTCTCAAGAGACTTCTAGAGACATTCTGGATGCAAACCGTAACACCAACATGCGCCTTACTGCCCATTGGCCCTCACAAAATACAAATTCAAAAATAACATTGAAGGTGGGCATGTTGGTGCACACCTGTAATACCAGCAGCACTCTGGGAGGCTGAGGCAGGAGGATTATAAGTTCCAGCCCAATCTTAACAGCTTAGTGAGGCACTGTCTCAAGAAAGAAGGTGGTGGTTAGGCATGTAGCTCAGTGCAAAGGCCCTAAGTTCAAACCCCAGCACTCCCTGCCTCGTAGCATCAGCAGTGATTGCAGACCACCAAACTCCACTGGCAGGACTAACTGAGGGCCCAGGCTCTGTGCAAGTGTGCAGCCCAGGAAGCTGGCCAGCTTGTGGCACCTACCATACCTGCCTCAGCATTGCTGTAACACCGATTGTGAGGCACCTTCTGTGCCAGCTTCACCCAGCGCCAAGCAGTACATCCTGTGTCTCTTCTGAGCCACTGTGGGGAGCCCTGCTCTTGCATGGAAAGCACTCGCCTGTTTCGGGGTTGATTTCAGGCAGTGTTAGCTGCTGGACAGTTGCCTGCACAGCTCACTGCGTGCTGCTCACATGTACACACTGCACAGTAAAGCACACTCAAAGATTTTCACCCACGTGCAAGTCCCGAATACTGATGCACACGGGGTTATGGTCAGTGGCTGGGACTGTGTACTCATGTAAATACAGAATGACTTACTACAGAAACTAAACTCCTAACTCCTTGACTCCACTTCTAATTTTAAAAAATAACATTTACATGTGCAAAAGATCCATGCATATGTATACTGTTAAGACTTAAACTAAATTTAGCCCATATTGATAATCTTTTGTATCTTTATTTTAAAACTATTAAGTTCTAGCCTTATTCTTAATTTTCTTTGGTCTCTCTCTCCTCCCTCCCTCCTCCTTTCTCCCTCCTCTCTCTCCTTAGCTCATTAGATTTCATGGTTTTAAAATTTTCCCTAACTTAGGAATTAATACTATGAACCTCATCACTTTTGCCAAGTTCCATAGATTTTGATCTACAGCATTTGATTAATATGTAATTCTAAAACATTTTAAATTTTCCAATGTTTTTATTCCATTGCTGATTTAGAAAGGTGATTTTAATATAAACTTATATAGACTTTGAAAAACTTGTTTTTAGTTTTTAATGTAATTGCACTATGGTCAGACTCCAGTTCCTAGACATTTGTTGACACTTGCTTCATACATCAAAATTGAGCAATGAACACTGTGGACTGCGCCTCTCACCAACTGTTGTTAATGTTCCGTGTGCTCATGAGATGGATGTCTAATTTTTTTTTTTTGCAGGTAACTATGTTTATTAAATCAAGTTTGTTATTTAAGTCTTTTGTGTCTTTACTTACTGCTCTCTGCCTGACCTATCAAACTGGTATACAGAAATCTCTAGTTTTGGTGATAGTTCAATAACAGTTTCTCTTCGGAGTCTTTTTCTACCTTGTCTGACCCTCTGATAAGTTTAGGATTGTTGTATTTTTCCTCACGAACCACTTCTGTCATCCCATAGAGACTCTCTTTATCCCAACAAAATAGATTTTTTTAAAAAATCTATTTTATCTGATACTAATACAGGTGTTCCAACTTTCTTTTTCACATATTTGCTTGTATTGTTTTCCATCATTTTATTTATAATCTTTCTATTTCCTTATGTAGATGTATCTCTTAAAAAACATTAATGTTGGATATTATTTTATTTTTAAAATCAAATCTATGTTTCTGGCATGCTTAGTCTGTATTTTTATTCTGATTATTGATATGTTTAAATAAACTTGGTTCTGTTCTCTTTGTGCCTTCTATTGCACTCCTTTGTCTTAATTCTTTTCTTGGCTTTTAAAAATTTATATTGTTCATTTTTATCCAATTTTCCTTTGCTTTATTTTTGGTAGTTGTCTACTTACTATTTTTTCATGTGTGCCCTGAGAAATTTTAATACCTTTTGATAGAATGTGATGTGTTTCAATAACCTACCCCCCAAAATAATGCAGGTTCCTAGAACCCTTGACTCCATTTACTTCCTGTGAATTATGTATTTTTTTCCCTTTTTTACATTTGTCTTTTTTCCTTAAGGCTCCAGGTTTTACTCTCCTATGCCACCCCCAGTACTGGGTGTTGAACCACTAAGCTTAGTCCTTAGCCCTTTATATTTTGAGACAGTGTCTCACTAAATTGTCCAGGTTGGGCTCAAACTTGTGATTTTCCTGCTGCAGCCTCCCAGAGTGTTGCGATTACATGTGTTTCCCCACACCCAGCTCAAGGCATCATTTAAAAAATATTGTCCCTTATTATCTACATCTTTATTCATATTTAAATAATGAATAAAAGACACATTAATACTTATAGTCTTACTACAACTGTTTCTTTGGTTAAAACCACCAGGTAATGAATGTTTTATTTTAATGTCTTTGTTAAGTACAGCTTTTTGGTAACCCCACAAATTAGTTATACTATCATTTAAAAATACATTTGTTGGACTGGTTTTTGGCTCAGTAGTGGAGAGTGCTTGGCTAGCATTCACAGGTCCTGGATTAGATCCCCAGCACTGCAAAATAACTAACTAAATGAAAATTTAAAAAATAAAAATACATCTGTTTAGATTTACTCTATCACTATTACTTCTTCCATCTCATTCCTGCTGTACTCATTTTTATTTTCTTTGAAGTTTCTTAATAAAGATCTTTTTGTGGTAAACTATTTTTAAAATACGAACTATCTTTTTTACTATTATTTTGAAAGACAGTTTTTCTAAGTTGACAAAAATTTTACTTCACTACCTTAAAGATAGATACTAAAGAGTTCAGTAGTCTTGTCATGTCCACTGTTGCTATTATTAATCATTTAATGGCCAGCTTAATTGTAATTTTTTTGTATTTCGTGTGGTCTTTTGCAGGGGCTACTTTTAGGTTTTATTTTTGTGTTCTGTTTTTCCCTATACCATTCCTAAATGTGTTCTTTTTATTTATCCTGCCTCTTACACCTTGTCTTCTCTTCATCTGTAAATCCTATTTTTCATAGAGCCTATAAAGGTAATCATCCCTTTATGTCTTTGAGTATTGTTTCTCCTTTATGGTTTCTATTTTCTCTTTCTAGAATTTGAATTAGATAGAGGTTAAATTTTTTTTTCCATTCTCCTTTAGCTCTAAACCTCTCACAGTAATCATCTTTGCTCTCTAATTTCTTCAGCTTTTTTTCCTAGTTCATTATGTTTCTCTTAAAATGTGTTTCTTATTCCTCTTTAATCCTTCATTGAGTTTTACAAGTTCTCTTTATTTTGAAAATTGTGAAGCTCACAGAAAATCAGAATAGAACCATAATTACTTGCAGGCCTTTCATCTAGATTCTCCAGCTTTACTGTCTTGCTCCTGTATGTGCATGTGTATCTATGTGTAGATGTGTGTTACATGTATCCATATGTGTAGACCTATGCACAGTATATACACGTGTGTAGATGTGCATGTACATGTATCTATATGTGGCTGTGTGCGTACATGTATCTACATAGATGTGTGAACATATACAGACATATATGTTCACACTCCCCATCATACTAGAACCATCATGCATGTTACTCTTAAGTACTTTTGCACACCCATTTCAAGAACAAAGACATCCTCTTATACAACCATAATACTATTACTACTCACAAAGAAATCCACACAATTAAAAAATAACATATAACATATTATTCATACTCAAATTTCCCAATTACTACCCAAATGGTATCAATTCTTTGTCTGATTAAGTCCAACGAGGGTTCACACAGTTATATCTGGCTGTTCTCTTTAGTGTCTCTCAGTCAAGAACAGTACCCCAATCCATATTCCTCTGTTTGTGACATGAAACCTACGAGGAGTACAGGGAGGGTGTCCTGGAGAACATTCCACATTCTGGAGGTGCCTAGGGATTGTCTCGTTCGACTCAGTTCAAACGTTTCCAGCCAGAATCCCACACAGGTGATGTATGTGTGTCCCACTGCATAGCCCCAGGGCTTGGTTATAGGGATAGTGCCAGATCTCCCCATAGAATGGCACATTTTCTTCCTCATAATTAAGAACTACATGAATGGTTTCATGAAACTTTAAATAGCTTGCTCCCCAACAATCTCTTAATATAATAGTTTTAGCACTCCTTAATGATCAGTTATTACATTTGTAATTAACATTAATAAATTGTGCATTGCAAATTTGTTTACTTTTTTCTCCAGTTCTATCATTTCCTTTATATATATTAGCAAATTATTCTTACATTAAGAAGAGCTTTTCCTTTTGGGGGGGTATGCTTATAGACTTGTGGATTTTTTAAAAATAGTGTTATAATTCATTACTATTGTTATTCTTTCTGATGTTCAAGTTAAATTAGGCTAGTGGAAAGAAATCCTTTCAAGGAAACTCATTTGTCTTCCTGACACAACACTGTTAGCTTTTGAATATTTTCTTGCTTCCTGTTTGCTTCAGGCTAGCATTGCTCATTCCTGGCTGCAGCTGAAATGCCATGTTTCTAAGGAACTAAGAAATCTTGCTCTCTTTTAATGGGGAATGGTGGTTAGAAACCAAGATCTTATTGGCATGCTCATTGCCACTGAGGCATCTCACTGCGTATTTTATTTCAATAGATTTTCCTTTTTCTTTTTAAATGTCTATTTGGTTTTCAGATCAATCTAGTCATTAGAAAGGTTCTCCCTTGTTCCCTTGAATTATATTTTAGTATCATGTAGCAGTAGATTGTTGTCCAAGTAAAATGAAGGAGAAAGGACAAGAAGAAAAGGAGGAAGGAAAGATGAGAAGAAAGAGGAGCATATTTATCAAATCACACAAAGCCGACAATACCTCCGGAACTGGTGTGGGGTCTGCTTTGAGTCTGTGGGGCTGAGCCTGTTGCATTTTGCTTTGAAGTTTATTGGTGGATATTTGTTGATTGCACCTGGGAAGAGAAAAGGCTACATGAGTCTCACACAGTAACTGGACTATAGAGTCTGGGCTATAACAGCACTACTTCATTGTTTCCAACATCCATCAAGGAAAGATACCGACTAAGGTAGTCATAGGAAATGAAAGCATATTTCTCGGGGTGCATCTGGGTTTAGACTTTAGACAGTAGTCTCTTGGGAACTTACAAGTGAATTCAATGAACTTTTCAGTACAGTGCCCTTAGTTGCTCAAGTAGTTAATCATTAGAAGAGACAGCACCAGTAGGTCCTACTGATCTGTCCTTTAACTGATGTGAACTTAGCCGTAGAGTTACTTTTTATTTATTCCTGTGGCTTATTCTGCAAAGGGAAAAGAACATCCCCTTTATGATCTGTGTCACTAGTAACAATAATGTCAGTGCCATTTTGAGTTTAATTCATTGTTACTCATTTCATCTGGGAGTGTATTAATTTTTCATAATAAAGTATGTCCTATACCATGTAAAAGTGATTTTTATAGGAAACTTTATAGATGCATATTTTTAAAGCATTAAATCAAACACTATTAAGTCTCTTCTAATGATGCAGGGCCCTCATAAATTAGTAGCAGGTTGGTCCTGAGCTGGGATATAGCAGTCTCCAAAGTTGTGTGAAGACTGGACTGTACGACCTGAGACTGGGATGCTACCCTTATTGGGGATTTTTAGTTTTAATCTATCTTAACTCAGAAGTTTCAGATGATTAGACAGCAGTTTTGCTTCACTTAGAAAATGTGTTGATTCTGATGCAGGCGGCACTCAATAGCCAGCTCTGTTACAGCAGTGTGTTAAATAGGAGTCACCAGCACCGCTTTCCAAAGCTCTAGGAAGGCAGTGACCCAGTCTGTTTTGTGTCCATCCTTGAAATTGGCACCTGAGCTGTGAGTGGCTCAGAGTCAGTGCCTAATAACATAAGTTCCCGTTCAATGGTGAGTGTTAGTATATGGGGGCTGCTATGGCACTGATTCCCTGTACTTTTACGGCTCTATTTAATGATTGGAGATTTCTAGGTCTCTTAAATTCTAGTAAGGGAGTATACAATTGCATCATAGTTATAGTTTTTCAAAAGCATTTAAAATATCTCCTGTACCCTTAGTACTGTTTTTCTTAAAGTATCTCTTCCCTTTTAATGGGGGGAGGATTGTAGCATTCATCTTATATAATTTAACTAATTACCATGAAATACCACCAAGCATTGTGAGGAGACAGGGAAAAATATTATTACTATTTTTCAGTACTAGATTGAACCCAGGCCCTTGCTATGTCCATGGCCCTTTTTTATCTTTTATCTGAGTCAAGGTTTTGCTGAGTTCCTCAGGCTAGGCTAGAGATCTTCCTGTCTCTGTCTCCATCTTGACTTCCTCAAAATTTCAAATCTAATTGGAGTCTTTTGAGATGCTCTTTTGTTTTACCCTTACAAAAATATTCAGAGTAACCTCTTGCCCTCATTTTTCTTGAGCTTCTCCTTCAGGTTTTTATTCCAGGATATAACACTATAAATTTCATTCAGGGAGCCTATTGCTTCCACACCAGTGTTGCTCAGACCATAACAAGTATCTGAATCACCTAGGGATCTTGATAAAATGCAGATTCTAGTTCAGAATGCCTGCAGCAAAGCCTAGAATCTGCATTTCTGACAGGCTCCCTTGGTGCTGCACTTTGTGGCTCTCAGTCTGACTCTGGACAAGAAGAGCCCACAGTGTAACCTCCTCAGCAATGTCCAAGCCACTCTGACCTCTCCCTGTACTAGTCAGTTGTTGTCTTTATACCTTTAACCGGTCTCACCTGTAATATCAATGACAAGTTTGGGATGTAACCAAGACCTTGAGCTACAGTTGGGTGCTCTTTAGGCTGTCTGTTACTCAGACTTCAAAGAACCATTTACCATGAAAACATTCAGAAATTTTACCTAGTGCTCTTCAACCTTCAAAGTCATATCAGAGTATAGTTCCTTTTTGTCCATTCTGTCACATTCAAAAGGAGTTTCATATTTTTAAGTCAGGCTCACACCAAGAAATATGCTTATTTTTAATTGGCACCAGTTTAATTACTGGCATGATAAAAAGTAATTTATGAGGTTAAGAAAGTTTTGCAAGACTATATATTTCATTCTGACAGGTAAAATGGTATCTCCTAACACTTCAAAATTTGCCTTTGGAGCTTGTAAAAGCAAAGCCAAGAACTGTTTAACTTCTCTTTGGCTTTCTCTTTTGGTGTTGAATGATGAAACTTTGCATCAAAGAATGTCATGTTAATGTTACATGGCAAAGACTCTACTTGTTGCCAGACTCTGGGCTGTGACTTCCACGCCCCAGACTACACTGCTTCATGCAAGCAGATGTGTGAACAGCTGCTTGTTATGATTGCTTCTCCATAGGAACCAGAGGCATAAAAAAGATGAGCCAGAAAATTAAATGCTTAGGAATCCAAGGTTTCCTCCCTCCTACCATCCATTATTGCATATTTTCCTTTCTGACCCTGCAGTGCCCTTAAAGGCAGACAGGTTTCCAAGAATACATGTCAGCATGTGAGCCTTTTACTGGGGAACACCAAGTACATACACTTACTATGCGGGAAAGAAAAACTTTGTGACTTACGCCTGACTGAGTTTATAAAGGACTTCACAAACTTCACACCATATCTGTAGTCAGGTTTATGAATTCGACCAAGCTGGATCAAGTGGTGGTCCAAAGGGAGGCTGGCTAGATCTTCCAGTTCCTTGTCATTCCAAGCAGGGCCCAGGGAAAGCACAAATAGGGTATAGCCCTGACACTTGGCTCGCAAAGACTCTTGCTTTAGGGTTTCTCCATCCAAGTGACTGGTTTCTCCAACAGATATCACAAATATAACTTTGTTTTTTCTCAGATTGGGTGTGCTTAAGAAGATATTGTCCAGAGTCCACCGTAAGGCATGACCAATGAAAGCATCTCCATTCAGTTGTTGAACTGATTGTTCCACATGGCGTTTCATGAGGCGCTTGCTGCTGTAGGTGGTGAGGTTGAACTCAGTCCTAACCGGGCTCCTCCAGGTGTTGGGAAGGAAGTTGGGGGGAGCATGGCTCAGTAGGGCCACCCGGTCTCCAGTGATTGAGGTCTTGGGCTCTGGGGTAATTTCAAAGTGCTCCAACAGTGCCCCTAGGAAGCCTCTTAGGTCTTCAAATTCAGCACTTCCCACATTCCGGGAGCCATCCAGAAGGAAAGCGGCATCCATATAAGACTGTGTAGGAGGTGATCTGGCTTGGTCACAAGATGCATCTGGCCTGCATATATCTGCAAACCAAGTCACTTTAGGTTACAAAGCAGGTATGGACAGAAAAAGGAAAATCACACCTCCACTACTTTGACATTTGGAAACTGCATAATCTTTGATATTTTAAAGCAGTTATGAAATGACTTTAAAATCAACAACAGCAAGACTCCCCAGTACACAGCTTGCATCTGTGTCTAGAAAGTACAGATTTTTATACCCATGTACTCCCCACATTGCCTTCACTAATGCTGTTGGTTTTTTAAATATTAGGCTGCTTTCAATAGAAGTTTAATTTTGTCTGTGTTAAGTTTATAAAGTCTGAAGTGAGCAGTGTATCTCGTGAAGGCAAGAATATACCGTATTACACTATGGTTTCTCTAGACTAACCATATACAGGTTAAACCAATTCCCTTCATCACTATACCATCATTGTTCTATGAAAAATAATCTACTTAAAGTAAAAAGGTTTCTCATTGCAATTTAAATGAAACTGCAATTTTATGTCTGTGCACTCCCCTATGCACAAAGCTACAGCACATCTTCTTTTTTAATCTCCATAGTGCTTATTAGTTGAATGCATAATGCAAGTTTAAGTGAATAGAAATATTAGTGGATTTCATAAAGGATGAGGCCATTTTTATAAATATGTATATCTCATTGGAAAAGGGATGCATAAGTGGATTTTACTGAATCTGACCACAATGAATAGTCATAAAATAAACTGGTAAAGGAAGAATATTAGATGCTGGGGATTTAGCTCAGTGAGGTGCCACTGCCTATCTCTCAAGCACAAGGTCCTGAGTTCAATCCCTGGTACAAAAAAAAAAAAAAAAAAAAAAAAAAAAAAAAAAAAAAAAAAAAAAAAAAAAAAAAAAAAAAAAAAAAAAAAAAAAAAGCATGGGAAGAATATTACAGCTTACCTAAGCTTCTAATTTTATAGAATAGACCAAGCCAGGAGAGTAAATCATTTTGCCAAAGGACACACCAGTTACTAGAAGTTTCTACATAGGAAGTCCGGATTTTATTGTTAGAAATGAGGCCATGTGGTGTAGAAGAGAGGAAGCCGTTGGTCTAAGCACTGGAATGCGTGAGTTCTCATCTCGTCATGGTACCAAACACACTGTGTGCTGCTGGCCAGGCCTCTGCTGGGCCTCACTTCTGCAGTTTCTCTGCAATAGGGCAGGTGGACCTAACTAGGATCAGATTAACCCCAAGGTCCCTTCCAGGGCTGACATTCTGACTAGGCTTTTTTAAATAAAAACTAAGGATATTAGGATAAGAATGGCCTCTTTGAAAACCAAAGAGAAAAAGAAATAGAATAACGTGTGCAGACAGCTGGAATGTAGATACGTAGGCCTAGGCCATAAATAAAAACTGTTAAATGAAAGACCAAGGACCAGAGTACAGATCCTAGGGAATGTAGCAAACTTTCTAACTTCAGATTTGCTCATGGATTCAGTAAAGACGGCTGTGTAGAAGTTAGGGCTCCCTTACTGAAGTTTAGTCAAATTTAATGACCTGGTATAATGGTCAGATGGTAGAACAGTCACCTGGGTACAAGGCAGTTTCTAAAATCAAGAACAGCAGGCTGCCCATTTGCTCAGTTTTGTGGGGTTTTTAATTGCAGATGACAGACAAAATGTCTTCCATTATATGCCTCACAGAGAAAACAAGGGTCTAAGAAAAGACGTGGAGCCAAAATCAAGCCCCAGGACCTATGTGCGACTTCTGAACCATTGTGACTGACATATTTGAAGGTGCATCAAGAATACATAGGGTGGGACATGTCTCCACCCTCAGCCCTTCCTGCTGTAAGATTGTCAATGCGTAATAAACTAGTGATGATGATCCTTTTGGAGACTGCCCAAACTGCAACCCAAAATTCCCTTATCACAGAGGGCCAACACTGCAGTTAAACCTGAATGCTCAGCTGCTGGAGTGATTCTGGGGCGACTTGACTCGCATGCCAACAGAGGGCTCTGCGTGCTCACTGTGGCACATGTGCCATAGGTTCATCACCACTGACCTAAAACAACCCTGTGCGACTCAGAGAGGGAGAGGCTGAGAGAAGGAAGCAGAGGGAAGACAGAGGAGAGAGGTTTTGAGAAGACTGGAAATCTGAATGTTCCTCTAGGATCGCCATCTCTCATTTATATGCCAAGCACTGGCATCTCACTGATATACATGGAGGACAGGAATCAGGTATTTTCCTCAGGGTTGAATGGAGAGTTCTGGGGAGAGGAATGAGGCCCCCATTCCTCATAAACTGCAGGCAGTTGAGGGCCAGCCTTCTTAGGTTTGATATGGTAGTGAGGCCCTGAGCGAATTATTACATCTCTCTAAGCTTCATCTTCCTCCTCTGTAAAATGAAACCAATAATATTTCAAACGTTTTAGGGTGATGATAAGGATTGAGTGACATAATTTATGTTAAGTGATTAGAACAGTGCTTGGAACACACACAGTAGTTTAAGTCTCGATGTCATCGCCACCACTAGTTTTACACAAAGCAATTAGAGCAGTGTGGGCCTTTAGTAATGGTCAGCTGTTGTGTCCACTGGTAATCACATGGCCCCTACTATCTTCATAGTTATTAGAACACTCAAATGGAAAAGAGTTTCCAACCGGACCTGTAGAGGTTGTGTATAAAACACTGCAGACCAATCGATACTGCAAAAATCTGTTAGATGCTTAACATTTGGGGACCTTTGGAGGCTCTTTCTAGTGAGAAATGCACGTCTGCTGTTTTCTATGGCTACAGTACTAAAAATATTCCCAGATAGGAGGGTACTAAATTGCTTTAAAGTATTTCTTTGGGGCTGTGAACATCTGAAATTTAGAAAACTCATAAAATACTTTACAGCATGAAAAACCTGGTAATGAGACAGGCTAAATTTTCTCTAAAAATCATCACTGTTTCCTGGAAGCAGCATAAGTAGAGAGACATGGAATGGAAGCCTCCTCCTGGGAGACACAGGAGGAGACCCTGCAGGCTGAGCTGAGCAGCTCCATCTGTGGAAGATGCAGTGTGACAGGCCCAGCCCCAGGAGTCCTCCCAGGGCCAAGCACATCCCTGTTGCCAGGTTCCAGCTGCTCCTGCCAATAGTGACTCAAGGCATGTAACAGGCCTGATCAAATTACCTTCTCTCTGTGCCACTTACCGTAGCAGAAAGTGCACCGTTGGAGTCTCTCTAATGCTAGTGAGTCGTCAGTCCCAGAGGGAACCACTATGACTTGGAATGAGCCAGTGTCATCAATCTGCAAGAAGCAGGAGCAAGAGAAAGAACCGCTTAGTGGGTTGAGACACAAGAACCTCCCCGCACTGTTCAGAGGCCCTAGGTCAAGGGAGGGATCACTCCTCCTTCTAGGAAGGACAAGGGGGTGTGCAGCATGTTGGGGTGGCTGAGGGTGTTGCTCTGTCAAACCTGACCCTCCCCGTCACTGTATGGCAGTCACTTTGCCTTGCCTGTAAAGTGGGAATCTAGGACTACTACCTAACAGGGTCCTGTGAGCACTAAACAAGTTCACCATTGTGAAGCACTTCCTGGCACAGAGTGAGTGCCATACAGGTCAGCAAAGGCCACAAAACATTTTCATACCCATCATTTCAACAACCCAGTGAGTGAGTTATGTCCAATGGTCTCATTTTACAGATGGAGAAACAAGCTCAAAGAAAGGCTCATCAAAAGACACTGGGCACTAAAGTCATTTAACAGACCTCCCCTCCAGTCCCTGAGAGCCACGAGAAATCACGGGCTGCTCTTTAGAAACATCTTTAAATTTCCCATGAATGAACTGAAGCTGGCTTTGAAATAGAAACTCAGATCTATATCTAGGCAGTTCTCTGAAACTCTCCAGTTTTCAGTTGTCACCCTCTGACCCACTCCGTTGTTAGTAACCCACCTGAGAGCTTAAGGATACAAAGTAGGGAGAAGATAAAAAGGCTCTAAATAATGAAGAATAATGATTCTTGCTGGTTGAGTCAGAGATAATTAGTAACTGAAGAAAAATTGTAGGTGTGACCCTATCTAGTGCCTAAGAGTTGGATCAAACGACATTGTGTTTCCCTTGTTAATCCTACTATCTCAAGCCAATGGCTTTCTCCGAGAAGTCCCTTTCCACACTTTTTCCACAGAGATAGGACTTTAGTAGTCATCCTTATCTGGAATAATTCCATTTCTATGACTGAGCCAATTGGACCAGATAAGGACTTTTGAGCCAGCCAGATGATCCATTCTTTTAAAAATTTGAAACGGGGGTCCTAAGGGCAGAGAGTCTATCCACGTTTAGTGGCATGAGCTCACAGAGCTGACAGCTGGCTGAGAAGCAAGGGAGCTGAGAGGGGGAGAGGGATGGAGAGAAGATATTACTAAGGCTTACCATTATTATGCCCAGTTTGTATTCTGCATATAATGGATGAGGAAAGCTGTGCACAGCAGAGTCCTCTCAGGAGCCCACTGTTTTGCCTTCATGAGCTTTAAGGTGAGGGGGTAAGACAGGCATTATATGGTAACTGAAGTTTCTGTCTAAATTTCTTGACACAAATACATATAATGCCCAGGGAAAGACAGAAGAAACAAAGTAGTGAAAGTGAGCATTGTGTGGTGTCAGAGAAGAGAGGAAGAAAGACTGAGGGCAGAGAAGTGACCTAGAAGAAATTTTAGAAACCACAGAAACCAACCTCATCACTTTACAAATGAGGAAAGTGAGTTCTAGAGAGGCTAGAATCTAAAAGGCTGCAGTTTAAGGTTTGCTCTCCCCAAACAAGATCTACCTTCCATCTTCTACATGAGCTATGTTAATGATCATAGCCATGTTTCTCAAGATGTTGCCCAGGGATTGCTCTGTCATTTTCTACCAGTCTAGTGTTTTACATGTCTACAGTGTAATAACTTTGATATTTCTGGCAATAGCCTCATTTGGCAATCTAGGCTCACATTTAATCATGCATCAACACATTGGTGGCCACTTAAAAGTGGTGTCATCCTTCTTATTGAACCCACAGGGTTGTTTACTGATGAGAGTCCATGGGGAATCTGGTCTTTCCTTTCTCCCTAATTTCTTAATGAAGTTGGAAAGGTATAGTTTTGGAGATTACTCATCCTATCACTTATCATTGGAGTAACTATAGTAGCATATTACAGAAAAGTCTCATAGACTGAATGTAGGCTGGAGATTTAAAATAAAGGGTCATTATCATTTACTTTTCTTAGTGCTCATTTTCCTATGGATTCAAAGAAATACCAGCTTGGATGAAAATGCAACTATGATGTTCACAGATGGGCAGTACAAGCATTCAGTATGTTTCTGGATGACACCCTTTCCTCCTAGACATCATGGAACTCCATGCTACTCTCAAGAAAAGTACAAGTAACACGGATGATGTTTCTTTTGACATTTTTACGAATTGAAATCATTTTTGAAATAAAAAGATTGCATGTGCAACATGGTTTCCCTTTCAAGACATTTCCCTCCCATTTCAACTGTTTCCAATTACTAGAATCACCTATAATATGAAATACTAAATTTAATCTTTCTCTCACCTGCAGTGCCAAATAGCAGAGTAAAAGAAAAAAAAAATAGACTAGCTTTAAAAGAGGGAGCACAACTTCTTATAAGAATATTAGAAAGGCAGAACCACCCTAGATTTGATGTCTTGACGGATAAAAAGATTTCATCAGAAGTAAGAGGGAATTGCCAACCAAATGTAGAGGATGAGTCCTCGTGACAAAACCATGAGACTGAGGTCCCTCCACTCAAAGATGGCCTTCCATTTTAGAAGCACAGCCCAACAGTTCAGTTCATGCCATTGTGAAAAATTTCCAACATGGGAACCGGAGTTACATGCTGAGAAACAGGAAAATCAGTTTGCTACAACAGCTGCTTTTGAGTCCCACATACTTGTGTGCAGGGAACCTAACTTCACCTGAGCCTACTGTGCTCTCAGATGAACCGCGCGTTTGAAAAGCTATGGTAAGTATGAAACAAATTAGGGTTTTAAAACGTGGCCATTGGGCCGGGGATTTAGCTCAGCTGTTCGGTGGCCTGCCTTGCAAGCATAAGGACCTGAGTTCAATCCCTGGTACCAAAAAATAAATAAATAATAAATAAATAAAATGTGGCCTTCAACAAGGGTGCCTTGTGTCAGTAGACTTGAGTTCTGTTCTTAAAAATAATAATGAGCAACACTTTAAGCAAAGGTGAAGTACAATGGAAAAGAATGGGCAAGAGGAAGAGACAGCCAGCAGAAGTAGTGATGCAATTTCTTTTCTGTAATGTGAGACAGAGTTCTAACGAGCTTAATGACACATTGTCTCTATCTGGAACCCCTGCAGACTATGTAGGTGCATCCTCTCCTACCAGTGCGGGCCTTTGGTTTTCTGCCTTCCTCTTTGTTCTCAGAGCCGAGGACAGTGCCTGGTGTGCACGAGGTGCTCAGTATTTGTTACATCAGTGAACCTTGGGACCGATTCTGACCTTATCGCTGCCCAAGGGGGTTAGGGGCCAGTGTTGCTAAGATTTAAGAGGATCTGTTTTCAAAACTGTGAACATTCATCAAGACAGTCTGTAGGCAATGTAGATAGAATCAAACTACCAGATTGATGGAGCACGCCTGTAGTCCCAGGACTCTGGGTGGTTGAGACAAGAGAACTGCAACTTCCAGTCCAGTCTGAGAAGCTTAGCAATTTAGCGATATCCTGTCTCAAAATAAAATTAAAATCAAAATGGGAGTGGGGTGGAGATGTAGCTCAGTATGAAGGCCTTGGATTCAATACCCAGTATGTCACACACACACACACACACACACACAAGCCACTTACCTATCTCAGATCATTAAGACTCAAAAGTTTAAAGAAATGGCAAAATCTCTTTTCATAAATTACATGTTGTACAGAGTGGGTTAAGTAAAATTGTGTCAGTTTAAGTTTGTACTACAAGTACCACTGATCATTTGCATCAGTATATAAAGTTGTCTCTTACTTTGTGACTAAATAAAACCAGTAGATGCAGAAATGGGAAGACTCTGTGTATAACTAGAATGACTTATAGAATTTTTAAACTGCTTTCTTTTCTAGCAGCTTTATGTGCATATCCTGACCCCAGTCTTCTATAATTTACTTACATTTTCTTTTTGACATAACAATGCTCTTTTTGGCATAATTCTAATAGTTTAATGATGCACATAGCAATTTCAATTCCTGAAGTACCAGATTTCCTTGTTATCAAACAGACCTTAGCTTAACTATATCAAGCTATTGAATAATTAAGGCAAAAGCCATCCTTCCGTATGCTTCAGTATGTTCTAGGCACTCAGGCAAAATGCTGCATCATTTAGTCTTCACTTCAACTCTAGGAAATAAGTACAACTTTCCATATTGTACAGATGCGAAGTATACTGCAACTCTGTTCTGCTTATTCCAACACTTCTCCGTAAATTATGGAGCTGGAGAAGGCCTCCAACGCCATTGAACCTATTGTGGCCCCCAGGGAAGACAGGTGTCACACATGTGAGTGACTGTCCCTGAACAAGGCCTTCAGAAAAAGCAGATATCTTGGCCACCTGCATTTATTCCATTGAATCCATGCCAGCAGTGAACCATATTGCCTTCTACAAGTTCTTGAACAGGACCTAAAGTGTTCTACTGCTATTCTCCTGAGTTTTTCTAATAGGACATTTGGCAAAGTTGGATTTCAGCAAATTTTCTCCAGTGATAGTTTTTCTTTTACTTGACAGTTCTTCATCTTTTTTTCTCTAAATGAAGCAGCTTTCAAGTGGTTGGACTTTTCATTTAGGATGCATTTTCTAATACTCTTGTGCTACTTCTTGGGGACCTTCTTTTTACTATCACTGTAAAGTGATAGTAATTAATTGTAAAAAAAATCAATCGTGGGACTCATCTTAATGGTCTGTCTCCGCATGAATGGAGAACCGGACACCATGCGGGGCCAACAGAGCTGCCTGGAAGGGTACTTTGCTGAGCCCAGCAGGTCCTTTGCAATGGAGCTCTGCCATGGAGCTACTACCAACATGGTGTTTCAAAGCCACACATGTATGTCTTAATCCCAGGGGGCAAAACAATGTTACCCATGAAGAGTTTAATGCTTATCCAGCAGGATGGGGCATGCCTGTGATCCCAGCAATCTGGGAGGCCAAGGCAGAAGGATCTCAAGTTCGAGCCCAGCCTGGGCAATCGAAAAATTTAGTGAAACCCTGTTTCAAAATTTAAAAATAAAAAATGTAAAAGGACTGGAGTGTAGCTTAGTACAAACACCCTGGGTTTAATTCTCCAGTCCTGGGGGAAAAAAATTTAATCCTGAATTTAAGAAGCTATAAGTGGGCGGGGGCAGAGAATTAGCTCAGTGGCACCACTGCCTGCCTCACAAGCACAACGACCAGAGTTCGATCGCAGGTACCCCCCAATGTGTGTGTGTGTGTGTGTGTGTGTGGAATGACTTGCTTTAAACAATGGATCATCACTAAGAAGCTATAAGTGGGCGGGGGCAGAGAATTAGCTCAGTGGCACCACTGCCTGCCTCACAAGCACAACGACCAGAGTTCGATCGCAGGTACCCCCCAATGTGTGTGTGTGTGTGTGTGTGTGTGGAATGACTTGCTTTAAACAATCTGGATCATCACATAAGTGGTAAAGTTATAAAGTCAGCCAATTTTTATCTTATGGAAATGACTACTATCCTGCCTATCTCTGTGATCTCCATGTCTATTGGTCTCCTGATTTAGTATCTTTAGACCCAGGTACAATCAAGAGAGAGACATGTTTGGCAAAGCACCAGATTGGTGACCTCCAGTCCCGAGATCACCACTTCCTCTCTGTGCAAACCTACGTAAGTGGCTTAACTTCTCTGGGTTCAGTTTTTCGTATCCATAAAGTGATAATGACAACTGCCTCTCTTATGCATATTATTTATGAGACTCAAACAAGAAAATGAATATAAAAGGTTTAGCATGTTTCTGGAACAGAATAATAAGTAATTCTCATACTGGGTTGTTGACCCCACATGCCCCTGATAACTCGATTCTATCTCATGAGGCCTGAACACAGGTCTAGTGCATGACTACAGATGGTTCTGTGGCAGGCTCCCCTCACCGAGAAAGCTCGCCTAATGGAGGGCACGTTGCTGAAAGCAATCACCACCGGCGTGATGTCCAACGCCCCGAACTCCATAGTGGCCGTGGTGATGGACTGGAAATCCGCCGACTGCCCACCGCTGAAAAACGTGGCAATTCTTCTGGTGTGAGCCCCGGGAAGTGTTCGCTTGAAGACGTTCCTGGAAATAAACCTCATTGCTTTGCCAGTCTCCCTGTTGTCGAGGGATCTTTCGTAAGGAAGAGCTTCAATTTCCCTGAGCAGCTGGTCCTTCCGGTGGGTGTCAGAGAAGCGCACGAGGTGCTTGGTGTGCGAGCCGTAGGCTAGGATGGCAATGCGCGCTCCCACAGGACAGCCACGCTCCCGGACTTTCAAGTCTCTCACCAGGGAAGCCACCATCCCCTTCATCCGCTCGAAGTCCCGCTCTGTGACATCCCTGGACTGGTCCAAGGCAAAAACCAACTCTGTTGGATGCACCGGGCATTCGGGTTTTCCTAAAAGACAAGCAAGTGCCTCTTAGAGCTTAGGATGCTTATTTTCAAAACAGGAGACAAAGTAATTTTAAATGGTAACTATTCAAATATTTAAACGTGAAGTAATTTAGATATTAAAATAGGTGAAATATTAAGTATTTAAATCGAATAATTTTAAAATGCTATTCTAAAAGCTGAGTGTGCTCTCTTCCATCAAACACAAAAGAAAAAAGTCTAGAATTCAATGTGATTTGTTATGAAATTCATTATGAAGAGTCCCTGGAAGTGCCTTTTTACCTATAGAAACTGGTTCAAAGGTAGGCTTTGTTGCTAGAATTTAAACTACAACAAATTTTTTAACAAGGGTTAAAAGGGTAACAAAGAATAGCTATAAAAGTGCCTTTGATGATTTCAGAAAAATCAGAAGAGAACCAACATGTAGCGTGTAGAACAGAGTTAGGTATAAAGAGCGTAGACAGTAAAGAGTAGGGTTTGGAGCTGGCCCAATGCTAACTATGTGACCTCATCCAAATTACCTATCCTCTCTGTGCCACAGTTTCCTTATCTGGGAAATTTGAGTCATATTAGCATCAATTGCCTGTTGTGGGAACTACATGAACAGGATAGGTAGAGCACTTGAGCAACAGTGCCTGGTACATAGTAGGTGCTCAACAAATGTTAGCTATTACTTTAATAATTATCATTACAGACTTTTCTGTTGTGTCAGAGAATAACTATATCACTAAAAGGAGAAGAAAGCTTTAACTGATAATTTTTATTCAACAGTTAAAAATTCAAGTTAACCAATAAGTATGCTTATTAAACTGTTAATTGCCTATTTATGTATCCTTATTCATTGGTACAAATTTATTCTAGTCCCACCACCCTACTTTCATTATCCTTGGCAGTTGATATTTGATGATCTGATTAATAATATTTGTTTCTCCTGCTAATTTAGGGCAAATGGAGACAGGGATTATGGCTCTGTTGATCCTCTAGGTTATTTAGTTCCAGCCAGAGAGTAGACATCTAATAAATGTTGAATGATTTAAAAAGGGACAAAACAGTTTTTTCCAACCACTTTGGGAAGAACAAAACTTTAACAGCACATAAAGCTCCTAGTTTTCAAATATAGACTGGTCTAAAGGAATCCCAGTGACCTGTATCCAGTACGAAATTTAGATATAGTAACACAGCGTGAGGCCCACGGGATCTACATAAGCAGCTCAGGAACGCAAACTTGCTGGGGCTCCTCTGCGCTGGCCTAGGAGTCAGTCTCTTTTACAGGCCACCTGGGCTTTCCCATAATGGCACAGATTCTGACCACCTTCCAGTTCTTGACTCCATGACCTTCATGGGCAAAGAGAGTTATCACCTGGCCAGTGAGAATAAACGCTCCAGCCCAAGTCAAATTGTCTCCTTTAACTGTAACAGGCTGAGCAGGTTTCTTTTTTAAAATTGAGGTCATTAATTTTGCAATTAAAAATGAGTAGAATTATGGCCAAGCATGAAACTGGTTCCATAGCTTTTTGATTGGGTTGTTATTTACATATGGAAACAACAACAAAATTTCAGGTGCAAGTAAGAGATAAAATAAAAAATGATTCACAGCCCTGGCTGAAGATGTTAAAACTCAAGTTTTCAAGGGGGAAAAAGGGGCTAATTCAGCTTGCAAAGTACAATCTCTGAAAAACAGAAGCATCCCGGGATCCCACAGATTCTGAAGAGCATGAGCCAGATTTCCGTGGTCCCCAGGAGGCTTCCTGGAGGATAGATGAGTGTGCAAACCCAGCTGTCATGGTTCTATGGCTACACACTGCACACTGGTGGCTGCTCCTCACCAGAGCAGGTGACAGAAAGGACAGAGGGGTAGGATCAGCCCAAGCCACTGCCATGGAGCTAAACTACAACACTGGGCTGGGGTATTTAGCTCAGTGGTGCTACCTCCTGCCTCACAAGTATGAGGTCCTGAGTTCGATCCCAGGTACAAAAATAATTAAAAAAATAAAACATCACTGACGGCCTTCATCCAGACCACCATTGTCTTTGGCTTGGTACCACCACACCCTCCCAAGTAGTCCTGTCCTTTACACTGATGCCTACAGTGCATTCTCCCCTTTGAACAAACAAGCTTTAAAAAATTGTCCATCAGATTGAGCTCCTCCCTGCAGTTCGTTCAACAGACTCCTCAGTACCTTCCCATCACAGCACTAATGACATCCAGCCTCCACATTGTAACCAGCAAAGCTCAGCTTGCTCCACCCCTTCCTACATCTCCAATTTTCACCTGCCAAACTCTCCACATCACTGTTCCTCAGTCACCTGGGCTCTGTCAGTTCCTAGGAGATGCCGAGGTCTGTGCGGCGCTCTGGCCTTTGTACCTGGGGTTCCCCCTGCCTGCCTGTGGGTCCTTTAGCCAAAATTCAAGTTCACTGCTCTATGAAACTCTATGAAAAACATCTCTCCCCTCTCCTCACGTTATTCTGTAGCAGAGCATCTTATGCATCACCTCTTTCATAACAGCAATAGGATTCTGAATTCTTTTCATGATCCTCCATGAGAATGGTAGCATCTGAGGACAGGAATCTTATTATTCAATTCAGTGTCCCAAGTGCATAAAACAGAGACTATATTTTTAAAATGTTCAATATACATTTGAAGTGCATAACAATCACATTCATTGTGGTGAATCGGTATGTGTACATAACACATCTTAATTCTTTTTTCATCTTTTTCCTCTCCCTTACTTTATCTCTTGGCTCCCTACCTTTTTGCAAAAGATCTATCTCATTTTTTTTTGTTTTGTTTTTTTGGTACCGGGGATTGAACTCAGGTCCTTGCGCTTGCAAGGCAGGCCACCGAACCGCTGAGCTAAATCCGTGGCCCCTTTCCTTATTATCTATTATGCTGTTTAATTCACTTATATTTTGGGTTTCTCAAATAAAAAAGTGACATTTAAGCTTGTGTGTCTGATTAATTTCACTAACATTATGTTCTCAAAGTGCATCCGTTTCCCTAAAAATGACTCAGTTCTTTTATGCCCAGTGGTGCACTATTGTGTAAAATTCCAGTTTTTTTCTATCTGTTCATCAGTTGATGGACATATAGGCCACTTCAAAAATTTAAGTATTACTAGTTGTGCTGCTATAAACCCAGGGGTGCTGGATCACTGTAACATGGTATCTTTAACACTTTTGGGAAGGTACCTAGATGGGGAATGGCTGAGCCAAATGGAATTTGTATCACATAAGCTTTCAATAAATATTTGTGAATAAATGAACAAACAACCAGGGAGCAAGTTTTGGTGAGTTTACACAATTTAAAGGATATTATCAGGGAGATGATGGGTTTATATTTAAAAAAAAAAAAAAGAAACATCATGTAAGAAGCATTTGTAAAATACCTGAAAGCTAGTGCTGAGAGATTTTTGTGTGTGTGAGTGCAGCACTGGGGATTGGACCCAGGGAGGCTCCACCACCAAGCTATATCACAGCTTCTTTTGGTTTATGCTGAGAAGTTGATTGTTAACAGTAAGCAAGAGCTACATAAGTTTTTATCATTGTCTGAGCTGCACTTTCCACCCAGTTGCTATCTGATTATCCCCACTTTTATGCTGCCCTCTGCATCTTAATCCTTAATGACTTGATTACAGAAATGGAGTGGGGGGGAGAGAATATATGAGAAGGGAAAGAATATTTTTATGAAAATAGTAACAGTAAGTTCAATGGTGTTACTAGTCCTAAAGTATTATAAATACTATAAATGCCTCCTGGGTGGAGGAGAAGTAGTTGCAGAGCTCAGCTAGCACCAACTGAGTGATTGGAAGCAAGACTCTGCTACCAGTGTAAGGCAGGAAAGAAAGCCCAGATACAAATATCAGTGGCATTGCTCGAGCCCGTTTTTCCAGATATGTGACTCTTTAGAGCTTGATGAAAACATGTTATAAATAAGGATTACTCACCATGTCCACCAGCTGAGGAAGAAGAACAAAGGAGACTGGGTTATTATTTGGTAGGAAAACGGAGTTCTTTTCTATGTAGGAATCGTGGCAGCAACACCTTGTCTGCATCTGGAGGTGACTCAAAAACCAAGGCAACAAAGTTGGGGAGAAAACTCAGACAGAGCCCTGTACCTTGGTGAAAGCACTGTACCATCTACCAGAAATAGGCCGAGAGAACAGGTGGGATGATAACACCCATAAATCAGCAGCCTGAAGCTAGAGGTTAGAAGCAGAGACCCTCCTCCTGGGAGAAGACGTGGGGGTCACTGTACTTGGAAAGTTTGAAGATTTCAACTTCTCTCTACTCTAATTTTCTTCATTCACACATCTATAGTTACCAATTACACACACATACACGTCTATATGTACATATAGTACACACATATGCAGGGTATCATTTATCTGAAGCGTGTGGGACTAGAAGTGTTTTTGACTGGATTTTTTTATTTTGTAATTTTCTTCAATACATAATGAGGTATCTTGGGAGTGGATCCAAGTCTAACACATAGTGCATGTTTTTGTTTTGCTTTGTTTTTCATATATGCCTTATCCACAGAGCCTGAAGGTAATTTTGTATGATTTTTCAGTGTGCCTATGTTCTGACCACAACCACTCAAGTGAAGTCAGATGTGGGATTTTCCATTTGTGCCCTCACATCAGCACCCAAAATGTTCCTGATTTTGGAGCATTGCAGGCTTCAGATTTGGGCTGCTCAACATGTATGTGTGCACATTTACATTGTAGATAAGATTAGAGGTGCATTTAGTCTGAAACAAATCAGCATTAGCTTTAAATCTGCACTCTCCAATGTGGCAGCCATGGGCCATAGGTCATTAAATTTCAAATCAATAAAATTACATGAAATAAAACATTCAGCTTTTTGGTTGCACTATCCACGTGTCAAGTGTTGAAAGCCACATGCGGCTGGTGGCTCCTCTACCTGACCACACTGGACAGCACCAAATTAGGCATCTCTACCTGTCAGAGGCCCTGGCTGGAAAGGGCTGGCCATGTTGTTCAAATCAGTGTACTTTTATATGATATACATAATTTATGGATTACTTCCTTTCTTGTATTAAATAACACTTTGAAATAACTTTTTATCTACTTTTGGATTACAATTTTGTACTGATTCTTTCAAACTTTAAAAGATCAACTACCATTGCGTGAGTCTGCCCTGCAGTCATTACAGTTCACAGGCCAGAAAACCTGCACTAATTCAGCGGTGGAACAACCCATCTCCACAGTCTGCTATGCAGCTTTCAGTCTCATGACGGTTCAATTCTGCTATGAACAGGCAGAGTTCTGACATCCTTTGAGAACAAATGTTCATTACAGAAACATGCTCTGATTTGTCTATTTTTCTTCTTCAAAATACCTTGAGGGAAATTTTAACTCTTCCTTTCAGTCCTAATCTTTATTTGGGAAATAAATACATGTGTAAATGAACATTTGACACAATAAAAAGTCAGCTTATAATCTTGTGGACGGGTTTAATGATTTAATTATTATGTGTTTAATAACACATATTATGAAAGAAGAGGCTGTCATAAGGGCCTTAAATTCCAAAGAGCACTCACCAAGCCTGTCAGTACCATCAGGCACTAATAACCTTTTACAAGAAGTTCAATGTGACTCTCCACTGATTTATTTCACCATCAGGACAGTTTTGACCTCCGATCTCAATTTTCCCTGGGTTAAAAGCACTAGATAAATTACTGCTCAGTGCTTTCTAAAGACACAGTGGGAGCTAATAATAGTCACCAGTCCATGCTAACACAGAATTTAAGTGGTAACATCTCTAATTTTAAGGAATTGGCTGGTAAACTATGTCAGTTCTGAGAGCAGCATTCCCTTGCTTTCTGGTAAAGCCAACAAGTCGGGGGTCACGTTAGGCAAGATACTTACGACTGTGATCCCACACATACTGAATGAGTTCACATGTCTGCAGTTCAAAAAAAAAAGAGAGAGTTAACTAAGAGGATGCTAGGTCACCAAGCTGAACCAAATTTAACAAAGTGCTTGGCACACTGTGCCAGAGTCAGGAGATACTTACAGAAAACGAAGCCAATCCTTTGGGCCCCTTCATACCCTAGGGAAACAGATAAACAGAAAACTGTTTTATGGCTTATATACACATGAGCAGCCAGAAAGATTTGAGAAAGTGAAGGCTTTTAAAGGTTTTTATTCTTACTAAGTTAGAGGCAACAAAGAATCCAGGCAGGATATTCTTCATCTCACTAGGAGTAACACTCCAGGGCAACACACTGGCAGCCACAGGCTTCATGCACACCGGTCCAGGGTCTAAGGAGGGAGCTGACAGCTTGACAGAGGCATGTGGTGCCTCAGAGCAGACCTAGAGCTCAGGTCTGCAAAGGCTGAGCCCTTGGTGCCCGCTGCCCTCCTGTGGTAGACACGTCTTCACCCCTGTGCTTTGCCTCCACCTCTGAGTAGCAGCAGCGGCCAAACCTGCATCTGTTCCCACCTCTGTTGGGCCAGATGCAAAGGGAGCATCTGGAAAGGTTGTCCTGACTGCCTCACAGAAATAAATGCATGCACATGTATCGAGTTGGAGACAGAACAGAATAGAATTGGTTCTAATTTTGTGCTCAACCCTATCTTTGGAACAGGAAGAGTCTGGCTACAATCAAAGAGATACCCAAGGAAAATTGGGAAAGCACTTAAATAAGCTCCTCATGAATAAAACTTTGATTGTGCTCACTATTTATTAGCTTCACTTCCATTCATTCACAATTTCTTACTGAACACAGGAGAAGGACAATGAAGGAGAGATGAACAAACTTCACTTATAATTGACAGATCTCACTTTAGTCTTAGCTTTTTGTTTCCTCCCTCAATTCCCCCACCCAAGCCACCTCTCAAGAGATACATTAGTTGGCATGTCTTCCTCTTTCGTCAGAGTGCGTGATACAGTGAAAACAGTTGTGAAGAGGAGCAGCAGAAGGCAGAAGCATTTGAATAGTGAAGGTTCTATGCTTTTTAAAAAATCAGTATATTTGCAATACATAATGGACACATGCACGTGGCACATCTTATTTTTACGTCTTCCCCCTCGACATCTCTTAATCACCTTCCCCTTTGCAAAATTTTTCAAATGCAAAAGGTCCTGGTATAATTTGTGCCTTTTCGACTTACCTTTCGCCCAGGAGGTCCTGGCTCCCCAGGGGATCCCAGCTCTCCCCGAAGTCCAGCAGACATCTCAAAGTAGAATTTATTTATTAAAAATCATATCTCTCTATACATATATGTACACATTTAAAATTCAAATTTAAAACATTTTTAAATTTAAAAGATGAAAATTTCATTTTCAGTTTAGAAAATTAAGAGATTTCCAAAACACACAAAGAAGGAAAAATAAAAAACCCCAGTAATCCCTTCTTCTACAAGTCATCTTGGTTAACATTTTGGTGTCTCTTTTAAATCCTTTTGGTGTTAAGATATATATTCTTTTTAAAAATTATTCAAATCATACCTTTTCCTGTTGCCTTGTAAAACAAAGACATATCTCATGTTACTAAATATTTTCATGGCTGCATAGTAGTCTATTACACAGGGTGCTATGATTTATTTAACCAGTCCCTTATTGTTGCCATTAGGTTTGTTATTGTAAAGTCTGCTATTGTAAGATTATATGCACAATTATAGTGGTTAGGGAAGATTGGTAGGGCTGAAATAGTTGGATCAAAGTAAAATTTTTATCAAAATGAGATGGAAGTAGCTAAAGTGAAAAGCAAAAATTTCAAAACATCAAAAAACAAAATTAAAATATAAAATACCCTAGGACAACAACAGAAACACTTAAGTTGGCTGAAAATATTTGTAGTGAAGTGAGGGAAACAACAGCAACAGAAGCGATGACTATCAACTATACATGAGAATTTTTTCCACATGCATTCACCAATACATGTTATCACACAGAGAGATAGGATTTAGTGTTTAAATGTGAATAATATTCTTTAATCCATTAAAATGCCAAGGGATTCACTGTCTTTAATGAAAGATGAAGTTGTTTAAAAAGCAACTTAATCTGTAAAAGCATTGCTTATGGAATCTGATCTCTTCTGTGTATCCCAGGGGTATTGACAGTCCACTGGCTTGAGTGAAAAGATGAACTTATTGATCATATTTTATTTAGGTTAACTTCTCCAAGGAAAAATGGCAGCTTGAATACATGGATTTACTTTTGTTCCTTCCTAATATCTTACTAAAATGAAAGATTTTCTTTTAAAAACGTGGGAGGGCAGGGACAAGGTGAAAAAATGGGAACCAAGGCCTGTCACGTAAAGGCACAAGTTCCCAATAATGAATGTAACTGGACTGTATACCTACAATGTACCAATAAACTCAATCAAAAGAAAACAACAACAACAAAACACAATAGTAATACTGGTAAGGAGAAAGATGAAGACAGTAGCCACACAGTTTTGGAGGTTGGAACGCAGATTTGCAAGTGTTGGATGTCTTGGCAGACCTGAGAAGGCTGAATCCTAGGGCAGCAGCAGGGAAATCCCAGAACCAATATGTGTGATATAACACTTTTACAGAAGGCTTGGGCAGTACCAGATACCTCCCAAAGTAGAGATGAAGAAGAGCTGAATAAGGAGGCTTAGTTGAAAATCACAGCAAGAGTCCCCAAATCTCCACTCTATTTTCAACAATTGGACACATATCCCTTTTCTCACTGTAACAATAAACCAAGTTAAAACTTAGCTGGGACTCCAGGCAGAAGTGAGGACCAATGGCACCATACCAAAACAGTGAGACTAAATAAATAAGTCTTTTTCTCCTCAATTCTTAAATATGGAGAGTCACCTTATTCTGAGACATATGAGAAATACAGGTTAAAGCAGGAAAAAATAACCCTTCAGGAAACAGGACTTAAAAATACTCCTCAGAAAGGTAAGTATAAAATATTCCAAGCATGAAACAAGAACAGTATACAATAGAAAAGGAACATTAAGAGAGCAGAAGCAAGCTCTTGAAGATTAAGAATAAGAAAAACAATATAAAATAAAAAATGCTTACAAAAAGTAGAGCAAAAAATAAAAAGGAAAGTAGTAAATTGAAAGGCTATGTTAATATATTAAATAATAGATGTTTTTAAAATAGGGAAGAGAAAACTGAGAAGAAGAAAAAATCATCAGAAATGCCAAAAAAATAATCATCAAAGTAATAAGTATTTCTCAGACCTGAAGAGCACACATTTTAAGGCTTGAGACCTACCTAATGTCCATGAAAATGGATTTAAGAAAGACATTATTATACTAGGTAATAAATAACCATGAAATACCCAAATACCAAGAACAGAAAAACTATCCAATGGTGTTCCAGAGACAGAACATTGGTCATGTTTAAAAAAAAAAAAAAAAGGAATCTGAATGGCCCTGGAAATTGCAAAGCAATAAAACAAACTAAAAAAATTCTGAGCAATTAAGTCCAACCCTGAATTGTATACTAGCTAAAATATCAATCACATCTGGAAATACTATTAAAGTTATTTCCAGATGTTGGCTGTATCAAAGAATATACAACTCATTCATCTTGTCTTAGCAGGAGACTGGATGAGTTTTTCCATGAAACAAGGGCAAAAATCCAGAGACAGGCATGAGAAGCACAGATCCAGCACAGAAAAGGCAAAGGGATTGGCAGGGTGAGGGTGACTGCCTTGTGCAGGGGGCACCAATCACTGTGGGAACCAGAACAGGTCATCTGGATAAAGTGCTGGGTCAGGATTAAATCTGATAGACTACCTGCTATGTCTAATGTTTTCAGAAGGGATTTAGATAAATGGCAAATTAAGAAGGGCAAACCCAGATGGACATGGTGGTAGATACTTGTAATCCTAGCACTCTGGGAAGCTGAGGCAGGAGAATTGCAAGTTCAAGCCCAGCCTGTATAACATAGCAAGTTAGTGAAACCCTGTCTCAAAATAAAAAATAAAAAAAGAAGGCTGGGCATATAGCTCAATGTAAAGGCCCTGGGTTCAATCCCCAGAGCCCCGCCCCCCTGAAAAAGGTAAATCAGCAAGTTTCATAGTAGGAAGTCAGTTCATAAAGTCTAAAAATCAAAAAGTAGGAACACAAGTATGATATTTAGAAGCATATCGTGAATTCCAAAATAATCAGGAAATGAAGGCTGCTCCTGGGGAGAAGGAAATGGGAAGGAGGAAGGGGGCAGAGAGATTGCTATTTTTTAATTTGACAAAATGCCATTAAAAAAACAAACTTTGTGAAGTTATTTGACTCTTTAAACTAGTAGTTCTCAACTGGAGAGAATTTTGCATGCCTACCCCACCCCAGGACACATGGCAACATCTGGACACATCCTCAGTTGTCCTTACTAGGCAAGGAGGGCAGATGCTGGGCTGCTGCTGAATGCCCTGCGCTACAGAGAGCAGTTCATCGATGGTAAAGGGTAACCCTGCCCAGATGTCAGTGGAACGGAGCCAAGAGGAACCCCGCTTTAAACTATGTGAAAAACTGGCTATAAAAAATACACACAAACCGATACAAAATAAAACAGGTTAAAGATCATGGTGATTTAAAAAAAAATTTGAGGAACAAAATCCAGGTGAAAATTTAGAGACATTAAAATAGGCATGTAATCATTTCACGAGAACTGAAGAGACACACCGAATTAAAGGCCAAGTTTTATCTGAGTTTTCCAACATAAACTTCCGCTCTTTCAGTGGAAAAGCTGGAAATTTTCAACATCTAAACTTCAAAATACTCATATAAAGGTGGAAAATGCATTTAGGTAGGTGAAATAAGCAATTTACAAACAGATCAACAAGTATAGCACAATAGAAATTCAATGTTCCCAAAGACTAAGAGACAGTGCTTACGTGTTTCCCATTAATTTTTTTAATGATTAATGCGCTATTGGGGAGAGAGAACCCAACAAGTAAATGAGCTTGTTAGCATGCTTCTGATGTTCAAGGTTGAACTACTTTGTTAATAAGCCAAGGGAAATGACCCAGAGATATTTCAATGCAGATGATGTTTAGATTAATTTGAAAGCCTTTTCCAATTATTTTTCTAAGAATATCAATCTTCACCACTTTTTTTCTGAAAGCACAGTGATAAAGACTAACCATCCAAAACCAAGTTGAAAAAGAGACTTATAGTTGGACAGTAGCCCTAGCTGGAGG